AGATATTTTGCAGGAAAAGGTACGACCATCTGTCCGCCAACTGAAGCTCCGCAGAGGATGGGTGATGCAACAGGACAATGACCCAAAGCATACAAGTAATTCAACAAAAAAAATGGCTTCAACAGCACAGAATACGCCTTCTGGAGTGGCCCAGTCAGAATTCTGACCTCAACCCGATTGAAATGCTGTGGCATGACCTTAAGAGAGCGATTCACACCAGACATCCCAAGAATATTGCTACACTGAAACAGTTTTGTGAAGAGGAGTGGTCCAAAATTACTCCAGATCGTTGTGCAGGTCTGATCTGCAACTACAGGAAACGTTTGGTTGAGGTTATTGCTGCCAAAGGAGGGTCAAACAGTTATTAAGTCCAAAGGTTCACATACTTTTTCCTCCCTGCACTGTGAATGTTTACATGTTATGTTCAATTAAACCATGGCAACGTCTAATGTTTATGTAGTATTATTTTAAGCAGACTGTGTTTTTCTATTGTTGTAACTTAGATGAAGTTCAGAGCACATTTTATGACCAATTCATGCAAAACTCCACGTAATCCCAAGGGGTTCACATACTTTTTCTTGCAACTGTAATCCCTAACCTGCCTAGAATTCAGGGGTGAAATACAACAGGTTCTGACAGGTTCAATAGAAATTTTGAGCAGTTCGAAGAACTGGTAGCAGAAATTTTGAGTAGTTCAGAGAACTGGCAAATCCCACCTCTGGCTGGCCCCAGAGTGGGGTGGGAATGGAGATTTTGCAGTATCCTTCCCCTGGAGTGAGGTGGGAATGAAGATTTTGCAGTATCCCTCCCCTGCCATGCCCACCAAGCCACGCCCACCAAGCCACATCACACCCATCAAGTCACGCCCACAGAACTGGTAGTAAAAAAATTTGAATTTCACCACTGCTAGAATTCAAATGTTGACCTGCAGGAACTAAGTTGCTCTGGCTAGAAAATGAGGCTTGAAAAGAAGAACATAAAGTCCCATCTAATTTAGAAAATGCCCTTTGCCTGAGCAGCAGTCCAGCCCAAGCCCTGTTTAAATGTAATAAAGGATAACAAGAGTAGATAGAGGCCTTTAATAGTTAAGTACCCATGACAAGTGATTGAGCACAGCACACGTAGACAAACTTCCTCATCAGCATAAGTTTATATGTAATTAATATGATCGATTTTTTTTCTAAATTTTTAGCTACAGAAGTCATTTACCAGAAACAAATTTATACAATTTGTTTGCTGTTTTTTCTATTTTGATAATGTATATCTGCTTTCTTTGACTGAAAATCATACAAAAATTTGTCTAGCATATGTAAATTACAGCAGCTATGGTCATATAGCAGTGGTGGGATTCAATTTTTTTTACTACTGGTTCTGTGGGGATGGCTTGGTGGGTGTGGCTTGGTGGGGTCATGTGACTGGGTGGGCATGGCCAACTCGATGTCACTCATGTCAAGGAGCACTTCACCCAGCCCCTCCCCTCCCAGCCAGTCCTTGTCATCCCCGGCCTCAATGTATCTATAGTTCTGTAAAAAAGTTGTTCACCTTTTTTCAACTTTATTATCTGCATTTACATACTATAGATATACTTTCATGGACCACTGAAAGGAGGAACTGGCTCACATACTTTGCCCTTTTCCTTTGGCAGTGGCGGCCCCACTTGGCTGCTGGACAGTGGGCAGCATCAAAGTACCTTAAAGGGACAGGCTGCAGTGGCTGCCTTCCAAGCAGCTTTGCTGCCCCTTTCTTCCTGCAAAGGGAGGCAGAAAAGTTTGGCCAAGTTGTGTCCTCATTCTTAGCATCAAACATACACACAGAGCAAACACGCACACACCTCATGGTGCCAGGACCTTCTGCGAGGAGTTGGCGCATGGGCGAGTCCCTCCGGCGCCATGAGATGTGTGTGTATTTGCTCTGTGTGTACATTTAAGGCCGAGCAGGGGAGGCAACTTAGCCGAACTTTTCTGTGGAGGGGCAGCGAAGCTGCTCTGAAGGCAGCTGCTGCAGCCTGTCCCTTTAAAGTCCCCCTTCTGCTACCCGGCTTCAGCTTACAGAGCGACTGGGTGGGACCGGGAAGGAGGAGATGACTTGGCCGAACATTTCTGCGAAGGGACAGCAAAGCTGTTTGGAAGGCAGCCGCCACAGCCTGTCCCTTTAATCACAGTGAAATTTAGCAGCCATGAGCCGCCACTTTCTGCTAAGTATCATCCAGAAAGCACTGCAGCAGAGAGAAGCAGCCAGGTTGAATGCTGTTTCTCTCTGCTGCAGCACTTTCCGGATGGGACTTACAGGACCCAAAGTGGCAACTCACAGTTGCTAAATTTCGCTGTGCTGCATAAGACGCTTTCCCAGCAAGAGCAGTGGTAGAGAGAAAACAGCTGCCGACCCAGAGAACACGTGGAGCGGCTCCGTGTGCTTTCCGGATCAGCGGCTGCTTCTGTCTACTGCTGCTCTTGCTGGGAGAGTGTCTTTCGCAGCACAGCGAACCTCGGGTGCTTGGGGAGATGCTCCACGTGTTCTCTTGAAACAATGGCCCGACCTGACTGCTTCTCTCTGCTACAGCACTTTACGGATGGGACAGTAAGGTAAGAACCTTACCCAAACCACTTCAGCCCACCTGCACCCGTGCCGCCTCCCCCGTGCCCGCTTCCCCCCCACCTGCACTGCCACCCCCATGGCCCTTTGGCTGAGGGTGGCAGGCTGCAGGTCAGGTAAATTGCTTTGGCCTGGGGGGAGGGTATAGTTTGAGGCCAGGGCAGGGTTCTCTAGGCGAGCATGGGCAGCGAGCATAGGTTTCCCAGGGGGAATGCATTCAATGGCCCTGGGGATGAGAGTTAGTAAAACAGAAACTTACCTAACTAGGGAGTGGCAAAGGCTTAAGTTGGGAGCCAGGAAGCTGGACAGCAGCTGGGCTGCGGGCATCACGTGGTCTAGGCTAGGACCTGTGGGGGAACTCGAGAGGACCTAAGTGAGCTGTGGATGCTGGGCAGCCAGGAAAGTGGGCAAGGGAACCGACTGGGCTGTAGGCACCATGTAAGCAGGCAAACTGGCTGGCCCGCAGAGACTGTGTGGTCAATGCAAGCGAGGAGCCAAACAAGCAACAGCTATGCCAGGGAAGCGAGATGAGAAATGACTGGGGAGGTTGGGGTGAACGGCGAGTGGGCAGGGAGATCAGCGAACATGCAGGGCGAGCAGCGAGCAGGGGCGGGGCCAGCCAGAGGTCATATTTGCCAGTTCTCCGAACTACTCAAAATTTCCACTACTGGTTCACCCAAACCGGTCCAAACCAACTGAATACCACCTCTGTCAGATAGCCAACCAACCTGCTTTTTGGAAACTTCTAGGTTCACCTTGTTACCTGATTATATTGTTGGCTTGCTGAAAGAGGCCACTAGAGGTCACTGCACAGATTTATTTTATAAATCCTAATAAGAGTACAGTAATTCATGGAATAGTAGGTTTTAAGAGAAAATTCACATTATGAACTAGTACACAGATGTTTAATCAATAGTCTGCAAGCTTCATGCTGTACAGCTAATCCATAGAAAAGTTGCAGTATAATGAAGAACATTCATTCATATTTTTTTTCTGATGATGGAGAACAAAGGCATTTTAACCAGGCTAGATTAGGAAGTAGATGAATTAGACTTTCCCACAAGGCGAATCATTTTATTAATAAATTGGTTTTGATACTGAGATTAAAGAGATAATTAGTATAAAACTATCCTTTGCTTTTTTGTTCCAATGAGAAAAAAATTAGCACAAAGACAATGTGATCATGTCGTGGCTTAGTAGCTATAAAACAGGAAAAACACCAAGAGGTATGATAAGGCAGTCATTTCTCCCACAAAACTCAGCTACCCTCAAGCTTTAACTGCAGAAATGTATTCCAATAATTTCTGTTCTGTTGGAGCCAGAAATGAATTGGGTGTGTTGCTCACAAAAATTGTGGCATGTGAGTAAACAAATGCACTACCAGAGGTGACCTCTGCTTCTGTCTTGGGAAGAGAACAAATGGCATATCAGAAAGGCTGTAAGTGTAATAGTGCCCTGTGTTGCTGAGCAATGGGGAAGAGGAAGTTCAAGAATCATTAAATTAATAAAATTCAATCTAGAAGCCAAATACACGAAATCACACTGACTGGTTTTTGCCCATATTAAAATGGGAAAAATCCAAGAAAGACAATTCAAAAAATCCCTTCAAATATATTATGGTTCTAAACAGTCTAAAATTATTTCCACCTAGTAAGTGTCCAGTTATAAAGGGGACTGTCTTAATGTTTGTTCATTCAGTAGTTTTTTTTATCACACAGTGATAAAAAAACCCTCTGGTGATTAATGTAAGAAAGGACATAAAACGTATTATAAAACAATAAACACCTACTGTACAAAGCATCAGGATCATACTTTGATGGCTAAAAGGAACATAATGTTAGTGCCTTCTGATCACACAAGAACCTGAGGGTGGGGTGGGTGGGAGTGGGGGAGCAAATTGAGTTTATAGGTTTTTCACTTACAAATGTTGCCTGCCAATTTAGTAATCAATAAATACTAGTCAAACAAACAGACTTCTGTGTAAAACACATAAGGCCAGATTGCCCATATATTTCAAGACTGGAATGTAACTAAAGAGCATTCTTACACTTTTAGTTTTGAAATACATCAAAGGCAGATCTTAATATTCAAAAATGCAAGTTCCACTTTGGTTGGATTTGGTAAGATCCAGAATGTTCAGTGTGATTTTGCAAGGCTTTAATGCATTCGATTGCTTTGGAGTAGAAGAGGCCCAACTTGGTTTTTGTTTTGGAGCAAAAATCGACGTAGAGAAAAAGAGTTGTCATGCAAATATTGGCAAGGGGCCCTTAGAATTTATATATCCGGTTTTATATATGCGTGCTGGCAGAATATTTCAAAAATTACTATCTTACCAGTTGGTAGGAGGGGCCTTCAAGCAGGTGGAGAGGTGGATGCAGCTCGCGAGCTTAACAGAAAGACTCGGGTTTGAGAAGAAACGGGTGGATCCTTTAAAATCCAAGTAGGATCTGCCAAAATCCAGCTTTTACCCACACCCGTTAATTGACACCCCCCCCCCCACACACACAAAACTTAGCGAAGCTGCCCTGAGCCTATATTAGGCGGCCGCTGAAGAGGAAAAGGCGGCGGCAGGAGGCGGGGAAGAGACAGTGAACTAGCGAGCGACAGAGCCAAGCAGCCCTCTACACTCAGTATGTAAACAATATATGGAAGTTATCAAGTAATGTTAAGCTACTAAGCAGCAACAATCACCCAGGGTGCAAAGGAGGCCCTTGGCCTGAAGCGCCCCCACCCTACCCCAGTAACCCTTCCTTTTCCCTGAAGGGCCGACTGCCCGGTTTCCTAGCGGGCGAGGGGAGCAGAATCGGATACAGTCACATACCGAGGAAGGAGAGGCTGAAGGCAGCAGCCAGTACAGAAAAGGATGAATTTCCAGCAGCTGGCTGATGTTGCGGATAAATGGTGCTCCAACACCCCCTTCGAGCTTATTGCCACGGAGGAGACCGAGAGGAGGATGGATTTCTACGCAGACCCAGGCATTTCTTTTTATGTCTTGTGCCCGGAGAACGGATGCGAAGACAATTTTGTAAGTGGAGGAAGAGGAGGTGGGCGAGTGAATGGGGAGCGAGCGAGCGGGAACCATCGTGTTTTTTGGCCGGGGCAAAAGGCTGGAGCCGGGAGGCTGCTCGCGGTTTTTGATTTCGTCCAATTTCCATTCCTCCTTTCCCCGCTCGTTTGCGGAGATGGCGGAGAAGAGACGTTTTTCCCTTCCTTCCCCCACACCCATACCGGGTGGAAGGAAGATGGAAGAGTCTTCCATGGGTGAGAAGAAGGACCGCCATCCTGTTTATTCTGGATCGTTTTGGGGAAGTCTAGCAAGGCATTATTCCACTCTCCCCTCCCCTCTCCCCAGAACATAGTGGAAATGTCACCTGCGTTTTTTATTCATGTTGGTCCTAGAAGGTTAAATGGTGAAGTGTGTTTTGGTGTGGTATACATCATGGCCTATTGTGGCAGTTTAACAATAACCAGTTACTGTAATTTCTCCCACTCTCTCATCTATTCAGCATGTGAAATACAACCTTTGCTTGTTTGCTGTTGCTTTTCTCAGAAGATATCCTAAATTCTGGTTAGTATTTAGTCTCCCCTCAGGGCTGTGCTTGCGCTCTGGAACTTTCAGAGTACCAGAAGATGATCTCTGAGGTTATGGAGGGTATGTAACTCTATGTAACTTGAGCTTTGGAAGTAGAATCACATTTAGGTTATCTTGAGAACAGGAATTTCAGATACTGATTGAGTTCACCACAGTTTGGCTAAGGAACCCAAAGCTTATTCTGGTTTTCTAGACCTTGGCCTTTTGAAAATATGTGGACTTCTACTCCCAGAGTTCCTCAGCATTACTAAATGAGGAATTCTGGGAATTGAAGTCCACATATTGTCAAGTCAAGATTGAGAAACACTGCTTTATTCTGTTAACCAAGACGAGGTATTTTGTTACCCTGTTTTCATAACACTTTCAACCATGTGGCCTTGGTTTTGTACAATGGGCTGGGCCAAACTGTTTGGTTAGCTGTTATTGATTTTGTATGTCATGGAAGCATCAGTAGGCAATATGATTAGTTATCAAGAATATTGAATATTATCTGAAGAGCCAAGAGTTCCCAGTGTTACTCAATACATGGATTTCCCCTTTTGCAGTTATCTATAGCAACCTCTTTTTTCTATTTTCATCTGATGCCTAGCACATAACTGGTAGTTTTAAGCTATTAAATATCAAAATAAGAGTTTTCTCCCCAAACAGGTTTTGCCATGGATACTATCTGACTCATTTTACTAATAATTGGTCAATGACTTCTACAGAATGTGATCAGCCTGGCACTTACTGACCACTTTAGATTAGCATGAATTTACATACCCCACTTCAAATCCTGGGTACTGTTTTCAAGGGTTTGCTTTTGATAGGAAGCAAGTCTGGGCCTTTCAAATTCAGCTCACCCTGTTTAATCACAACTGGTAGGTCTCAAACTGATCCTTGGGACAGAACTGGATCAGCCTGAAAAGCAGCTGATCAGTGATTATAGTGGGATTGTACAGTAGACCAAAGAAAGAGAAACTTCACTTTTCCTATGCTCTCCATGGCACAATTCTCTCCATGCCAGTTTTCACACTACTTTTGAATGCGGTTTAATGGTGGTTAGGTCGTGTTGAATATAGCTGACCAAAATATTTGAGCAAGACCAGAGATGTTTTGCCAGAAAGCTAAACCCCACAGTCTAGTCATCTATTAAAACTTACCTCCTGTTCCAGCTCCAGAGGATGGTGGATGTCTCTCCCCCCTACACACAAACACATCAGTTGGTGACTTTTGGTGGAGGAGGAGGGAAACAAATAATGTATATTCCCTCTCCCCCTCCCAAGTTTTTTTCTGAAGAACCACTGTGGAAGAATGCCTTTGATTTGCTGCCTTTAGTAATTTAAATAAGCAAATGTTTTTAGGATGGGACATACCTTCCTTAACCACGCCTGCCTGTAGAACATGACACAGGCAAGAGATAGCTACTTTCTGCCAACAGCATGTCTTAATTTGCCAAAGTAGCAAGTGTCCTACCCTTTTTCTTAGTAATAATAGAGATAAAAAGCAAATCTAGTTTGGTTAACCATAAGGGGAAAAGGCAATTTGTGTTATTTTATTCCATAACTTCTAATCTACTCATTAACTCAAATTCTCCAGATAAATTAGAAAGTTAAAATATAAAATCCGTACTCAGCTAACTCAGGATCACAAAATAGTGTGCAAGCTTTGATTTCCCAGAACTATGTTTTAGGGAGGGGTAAAAAGAAAAGGGTTGCTATTCTGGTTATTAGTCTGCCTTTAATTTCAGCTGCATATTCCAGTTCAGAGGCTAAATATAATCTTTATAATAAAAACTATTAAGGGCTTGAATTGGAAAATAGAAAAGTCCCAAAGGTGCTTTGGATGAGAAGCGAAATGTTTTCAAGGAAAAAACCTAGGAAAGTCCAGTTGCCTTTCTGAAAAAGCACCTTTGGGATAACCATGACCTGGATGATTGGCAATCTCCATAGACATATAGACTTTGAAAACTGGACACTTAGAGATTGCTGCAAAAATAAATGTAATAGGAATCCACTGTGTTTCTTCTGTATACTTACATTTTTCCTACTACCTTGAATGATAGTGGAATGGTCAGTTTTTAAGTGTGTGTTATAATACCAAGAGGGTTGCAAGTTCTTGGTATAAATCAATTTAGGCCGTCAGTTTTAGATGCAATCTCACAAATCCACTCTATATTTTTAAATTATTTATTTATTTATTTTTATTTAGTTTGTCGATCATGTACTAGATAACAGGTATAAGTATAAACATGGACATGAACAAGGAATGAGTACAAATAAATGGGGACAGTAGGACAAGGACGGTAGGCACGCTGGTGTGCTTATGCACACCCTCTTTACGGACTTCTTAGGAATGGGGTGAAGTCCAAGGTAGATAGTTTAAGGTTGAAGCTGTGAGGGTTAGAGGATGTAACAACAGAGTCAGGTAGAGTATTCCAGGCATTGATCACTCTGCTGCTGAAGTCATATTTTCTGCAATCGAGTTTGGAGCGGTTTACTTTGAGTTTGTATCTATTGTTTGCCCGTTTATTGTTGAGATTGAAGCTGAAGTAGTCATCAAGTATTGCAGTACTTGAGAGGCTGCCACAAAGAGGAGAGGGGTCAATTTATTTTCCAGAGCACCAGAGGGCAGGACAAGAAACAATGCATGTAAAATAATCAAGGAGAGAAACAACCTCGAATTAACGAGAATCTTCCTTACAGTGAAGACAACAGCTTTCCTTCAGACATTGCGGTTGCTTCATCACTGGATGTTTTAAAGAAGAGACTGAATAGTCACTTGTCTGAAATAGATCCTATAGGAATGTCAATAGATCCTGAAATGGTATAGGATCTCCTTGAGCCGAAAGTGTGGATAGGGGCGCCAGCCGCTGAGGACTTGTACTGAGCTTAGGACTTCAGTCACCAGGGCTCCGTCAATTCCTGGATGGACAGAAGAAAAAAGTTGTTTCTCTGGGGGGTCTTTAAAAAGAAAAAAAAATCTTCTGATTCATTAGTAGATCCAGAAGTGAATTAAAATCTTTCTCTAACAACTCCCATCTCATCAAATTGGAACCCCAAAGTATTAACAAAGGTGTTTTTTTTTAAAGTCACTATCCTCCCCACTTATTGGATATAATTGCCAAAAAGTCTCCAAAGATTGTTCAGGACTTTTGGTCTTTATTGTAAAAAGAGATGAATATTATTAGATGACTTGAGCTATTGCCTTTTTGAAATGTTTCTAATTTTAACTCTAGTTAAATCAAATTTAAATTTTGTTGCATACCATTGCTTGCTTTTTAAAGCGCAGCCATTGACATGGCAATAAAAAGGCCAAGTCTGGCCCTAAGATTAAAGGAATTTTATTTATTTATTTATTTATTTATTTATTTATTTATTTATTTATTTATTTATTTATTTATTTATTTATTTATTTATTTATTTATTTATTTCATGTATTTATATGCTGCCCTTCTCCAGAAGGACGGCAAACACAAGTTAAAGACATCTACAACAAAATCCCATTTTAAACCAAATTAAGTAATAAATAATAAAACCCAGAATCAGAGTCAGCCTATTTGCTTGAACAGCCAAGTCTTCAGGTCCTGATGGAAGGAGCGGAGATCAGGAGCCGTCCAGAGCTCAGTAGGCAACTCATTCCAGAGGGTGGGAGCACCCACAGAGAATGCCCTACCCCTGGGCGCCACCAGACGACATTGGCTCACCGTCGGAACCCTGAGGAGAGCAGCCCTATGTGAGCGAACAGGACGGTGGGAGGCAGGCAGGAGAAGGTCCTGCAAATATCCCGGACCTAAGTCATGTAGGGCTTTATAGGTGAGAACCAGCACCTTGAAGCAGACCCAGAGAACCACTGGTAACCAGTGCAACTCACGCAGGAGAGGTGTTATATGGGAGTAACGAGGGGCTCCCGTAACAACCCGTGCGGCTGCATTCTGGATCAGCTGGAGTCTCCGGGTGCATCTTTTTTTTTTTTTAATTTGATTTATATGCCGCTCTTCTCCGGAGACTCAGGGCGGCTTACAATGCATTAAGCAATTGCCTTCATACTTTTTGTATATTTATACAAAGTCAGCTTTTATTGCCCTCACAAACTGGGTCCTCAATTTACCTACCTTAGAAAGGATGGAAGGCTGAGTCAACCTTGAGCCTGATGAGATTCAAACTTACAGTAATTGCAGACATCTCAGGGGCAGGCCGATGTAGAGGGAATTGCAGTAATCCAAGCGGGAAGTAACCAGGGCATGAGTGACAGTGCGAAGGTCACCTCGGTCCAGGAAAGGGCGCAACTGGCGCACCAGGCAAACCTGTGCGAAGGCACCCCTGGTCACGGCCATCAGGTGGTCTTCTAGGAACAGCCGAGCATCCAGGAGGACACCCAAGTTGCGAGCCCTATTAACGGGGGCAAGTTTTTCCTCACCCATCAAAAGTGATGGGGTCTCTGAAACCCGAGAT